TTGGTAAAAAGTCATTTTAGTTATAAAAAGTCAAGTTTAGTAATTTCATATTTTATGTTATTTGTTATTTTTATTTTTTTTTTTTTTTTTTTTTTTTTTTTTTTTTTTTTTTTTTTTTGTTTTTGTTTCTTTAAAAGCTTAATCAATTTTACCGCATTGAAATTAAAATTTCACCAGATATGATCTTAAGATCTCGGTTGAGAGTAAAAGTAAATCAGTGCTTATTTTTTTTATAGAAAAGCATAATTAACAGAATGTCGTAATCGAACGTGCGGCGTAAATTTAAGCAAAAAGTAATAATAAACACTTCAGCCGACAGCCAACAGCCAAACGCTCGCGCAAGAACCTTCGAGCTAAAGCATAATAAACGAAGAAGAAGAATGGAGTCTTCTATTATATTAGGCTAATTGCATCGCTAGACTTGTCGTTCCAATTCATTAGTCGCTCCTGCATAATTCATCATATCGATGAGACATAGTAGAGAGTGTAAAATCCTGTGCTCCTGATACAGTTTGCCAAGATGAATGGTCCAAGTTACTCGAGGCGTGCGGAGGAAGGAGTTGAAGGGAGTGAAAATGTAAGCGGACTCGCGTGCGCGGAGGAAATACTTTTCCTGGCGATTTAACTTGGCGGAAAAGCATCGAGGCCGTTGGACTATTACGTGTGGGAGCTTATACACACACACACAAGCGGCTTTGTTACTTTTGTTAGCTGCGGCTCATTCTCTCTTTCTCTCTTAGTCTGCCGCTGACGGTTCAATCAATCACAACTCAACACTTGTATTCGATGTATACATGTGCAATATCGAATGCAAGGAAAGAAGAGAACAATTTCAAAAATTTCCGTACCCTGCGACCGAGTTTCACTGCCTAAATATTAATAATTATAAGGCATCCCTTGTGTTTTTCATGAGTTGTTGCCGTTGTTTTTTTTTTGTTGTTGTTTTTTGTTTTTTGTTTTTTGTTTTTTTTTTCCAAGCATTACAAGCTTACTCAATTCACAAGCGACTTTACGTATTTTTTTAAATTTAATATCTTCGAAAGAAGTTGAAATGTACCCTAAGTGTGAATATTTAGATCTGTAAAAGATATTTCTACATTCTAAATTATCAATACGATGTCATACGAATAATTTACTTTCATGTATTTTCATTGTTAAGAGTATTTGCGATTCGTCCACAATATGACAAATACATATCGTGAACTTTATATCGATGTAATAATTGATAAGACAATGAATTTTTTATACAAATATTATAGAATCTATTAATAATTTTGACTTAATGAACTGATGAGGATTTAATTTATAATAATAATTATCAATATTTTCAACAAACTTTGCAGCAATTGAGGCATACACATTTCTTTAGTAATTTACTTGTTGTTATTACAACGAATTTAAATACAATAAATTCGTACTCATTCGCTGAAAATTGCTATTTCTCCTTATTGAATATGTACCAAATATATCCGTTCTCAATGTGCGCCGCTAATTTTGATCATTTTTTTGCTCTTTTATCATTCTTTCCTTTTTCATTTGGCTTCTAAGGCTTTGCGATGAAAGATAAAAACGTAAGGTTAATTTCAAAGTCTCTGTGTTATCATAATGAAGGGCCCTGAAATTCATATTGATATGGAAATGCCTAAATAAATGGGATGCGTCGAGAGAGAGAGAGAGAGAGAGAGAGAGAGAGAGAGAGAAAAGGCAAAGGGACCATAAGAAATAACGCCGTGTTTGTTGAGAGGACGAATTGCCTCAAAATTAGCAAATATAGAAGATAATAGTCAGAAAAAATGAATCGGTAAATTGACCATCGGTAAATATAATCCAATTTTGCAAGCATCACGCACAAAGAATTAATTCTCACTTGATTGATCGCTCGAGTATTCTATCTTTAGGTGCATAAGAATAATTTTTCTGACGATAAAACCGAACTAGCAAGCGGAACATCGATGCCCAACTCGATAATGTAAATGCACTAATTGCATATATACGAAGAAAATATTATCCTTCGAATTGAAAACTCGGTGCATCCACAGTGCATTAAAAGGCCATAAATTTCAAATTCAGCCCTTTCTTCGGGAATATCGTGAGGAGAAAGGCGAGTGAAGTAAGGCGTCGTCGCGGCGTCGCGTTAGGCGCGAGAAATCCGTGGTGTCGCGGGGTTGGCGAGTGTGGCGGTGAACGACGACGAAGACGGATGGGGGCAGGGGGAGTTCGGGTCCCACCCTCGAGAACGAGAGGGTGGCGCATTACAGAGGGTGTCAAACGCACGCGACCGACACGCGTCGAAATGAAAATTCGGGAAGCTGCTTAGGTAAGTCGATTTTCTCTCGGCTCGTGAACGCTTTGTCTACAGGCCTCTTTTGCCGACCCTCTATTACTCCCCCCCCTCTCTCTCTCTCTCTCTCTCTCTCCCTCCCCCCCCCCCCCCCCTCCTCACCTTATAACGATGATTTGAATAATCACTATTACAATTTATTGCTATTAATCGCGCACAGTCGAGTGGTGTTCGTTGGCCCTTAACCCCTTTGACGATTGCCAAGTCTCGAAGTAATCGGCTCGTTTCGTTTGATAATCTACGGAGTTATTTTGACTCGGTGATTACTGATCATCAGAAGAGATAATTTTTCTTGATCATCGTAGGTCGATCATCTTTTGAAATAATACGTTTTGTAAATTAGTAAAAGTATTGTTTGAAATTCATATAAATTCATGATCAATTATAGCCAATTAATACTATCTAATGCTGCACGCTTTCTAGTGAGCAGTATATTGTCAAATAATTATTCTTATGAAAATATAAACATTTCTTTATGAAAATGTAACGTTTAAAATTAACTCGCGTTTACATTCTCTTAATAATGTATTGCATTAAATTTTTTTTTTTTTTTTTTTTTTTTTTTTTTTTTTTTATACAGATTTTATTCTATTCACTATAATTTACTTATGTTATTTACTTATTATATTAATTCATAATTTTTCCAATTGCACACGTGCATATTAATAAAAATAAGAAAATCATGTAGTATTTTATATGATAGGGATTAAAATTATATTTCAGAATATAATTCATGGATATGATTTCGATACAATCTGACATGAGTATTTATGACTATTACAGTAAAACTTTTACATCATTTATTGAATTGGAAATTTCTTTAATAGTGATGTCGTCTTTTTTTTCTTTTTTTTTTAAATTTGTTGCCATACCTTTTGACATCCAACATAGACATTAACAAAATTCTACTATAAAACAATAATCAATTTGACTGACATTCTTATATGATAACAAAGATAAAGTACTTAACTTCAAATGCAAATGAACGAAGAAATATTGATTTAGTAAAAAATCAACTCGTACTATTAAAGTAATGTATATTGTTATTTTGTTATACGAGCTCATAAATTTTCCGCTTATTGATCTCTTTCTATGTATCAACCGTAAATTTAAAGCTTTTTCATTTAACTTACATTGTCCATTGCTTTGCTCAGGACATAGAAATCAACAAAGTTAAGAATTTCCGCAATAATTTTTACACTTCGTAACATACCAGTGTTAGCCAATTTTAAACATTAATAAATGTTTAAGTGATTAAAATGTTTATGAAATTGACACGAATCATTTGAAATGTACATATAATTAAATTCAAAATTAAGTTCTTTTTGTACAAGCAAATAATATTATATTTGATAAATTAAATACTAAAATCGGCCATCAAAAACAAACGGACTAATTAACATTTTTCATTAAAAAGATGGCAAAAGATGATAAAAATTGATTAGTTAAAGTATATTTAAATAATGTAAGTAATGTTAAAATGTAATAATATCTTTAGCATGATTTTATTTTTAATTTTAATTCTTTTGAATATTATCGATATTTCATATTTTATTAAATTTACGCTATGATTGCTAAATGTAAATTATAATATTTTTCATTCTCATTAACCAGTTTACTCTATTGCTCTATATAAACAAAAATCGATATTACATTTATATTTATAATGTTTTCTTGATATTAAATGAAAAGAAAAAGCCATATATATATATATATATATATATATTTCAGTAAAAATACAACGGATTTTAAAAAGTAATGTGAAAATAAAATTTTTTTATTATTATTAAATTACTAAAGTCGTAATTTATAATTTTAATACCAATTTTAAAATGATCATAAAAATAGTATTGATCTAACCATAGGCTAAGAGAGCAGCATTTTCAAATTATTACTTACACTGCTTCTCTCTCTTTGTTTATAAATAAAAAACTCCAATGAAATTTTCGCTTCGTATTATATATAATCTTTATTGAATAAATCGAAGATGAAGATGTGTAAATTCACAGAAGCACATGTTGGTAAGTAATTCAAATTCCCTCAATTCCCAATGGCTCGTTTAGAGAGAGGGATAAAGAACACAACGTTGATACGGGGAATTCGATTATGGTAATTTTCTGTCGTCCTCTTCAACATAAACCGATGAAAGGGAATGTAGGGTTAGAAACCCAATAAATAGAAGAGTTTCAGTCTATACATGCAGCTTTAATGCCTCTATTGATTTCACACGACAATCCTATTGTATTTGACTTGTGACTTTAATATAATACAAGCTTGCAATCTTATATATATATATATATATATATATATATATATATAAGTGTATGTATATATGTATGTAAAAATTAGAAGTCAATTGCCGATAAGAAAGAGTAGGAACTTTTAATTAGGTTATTTTCATTCTTCAAATGACTTTGAAGAAAGTATTTCTTCACATTGATTTTAAAGGCGAGAGCACATTGACCTTACTTAAATTTGACTTTTGGGGTAGAAAAGGCACAATCATTTTAAGAATTTGATAATATGCACTATTGCACTTATACAAGAGCAAAAATATAATCTCATTTTCACAGCGACTCGATGCCACGCATTAGGATAGCCGTGAAAATCACTCACACGAGACATATTATTATAAAGATCGATCATTGGTGCTTCGCAGGTGAAGATCTGGTTCCAGAATCGGCGTATGAAGTGGCGCAACAGCAAGGAACGCGAACTCCTGGCGACGGGTGGCTCCCGCGAGCAGACCCTACCCAACAAGAACAATCCGAATCCGGACCTCAGCGACGCGGACGGCGACAGGCAGCGGATGGACCTGAGCGACGCGAGTCCTCTCACCAGCCCCCAGAGGCCGGAGGATCACAGTGACAACGAGGACGATGAGGAGATCAACGTCACGTGATAAAATGTCGAGGGACGCGTCCTCCTCGACAGGCGAGCGGCCTAAATTTAATTAATCGGCGGTTGTAGAATCGATTGTGCCGCTGAGGTGGGACGGATTAGTTTTGGGGAGGAGGGCCAGGAGGTCGTTTACGCGTATACGACGTATACGACGTTGGAGAAGACGTATAATTCGTAGCTCGGGCCCGGCCGACCACCGACCGCCCGTACTCTCCTCCCATTATCATCGACAATCCCGAGCGTCGCATTGGTTAGCTCGGGCCAAGGGTGATCCTGAGAAGACTCTCACTGGAGTAGGCATGCATTTATCAGCGATAAATGTAGCGCAGTTAAACGTAAATGTGGCCATTTATCGGTGTATTTAAGTGGCTCGGGCGTTAAGCGGTTACGTAAATTTCATGAGACTTGGTCTGGATGTTATTGGTGAGTCCGGTGGGGTTGGGGGGGAGGGGAGGGGGGGAGAGGCAACGACTCGAGGTAATGTTTTCTTGATATTAAATGAAAAGAAAAAGCCATATATATATATATATATATATATATTTCAGTAAAAATACAACGGATTTTAAAAAGTAATGTGAAAATAAAATTTTTTTATTATTATTAAATTACTAAAGTCGTAATTTATAATTTTAATACCAATTTTAAAATGATCATAAAAATAGTATTGATCTAACCATAGGCTAAGAGAGCAGCATTTTCAAATTATTACTTACACTGCTTCTCTCTCTTTGTTTATAAATAAAAAACTCCAATGAAATTTTCGCTTCGTATTATATATAATCTTTATTGAATAAATCGAAGATGAAGATGTGTAAATTCACAGAAGCACATGTTGGTAAGTAATTCAAATTCCCTCAATTCCCAATGGCTCGTTTAGAGAGAGGGATAAAGAACACAACGTTGATACGGGGAATTCGATTATGGTAATTTTCTGTCGTCCTCTTCAACATAAACCGATGAAAGGGAATGTAGGGTTAGAAACCCAATAAATAGAAGAGTTTCAGTCTATACATGCAGCTTTAATGCCTCTATTGATTTCACACGACAATCCTATTGTATTTGACTTGTGACTTTAATATAATACAAGCTTGCAATCTTATATATATATATATATATATATATATATATATATAAGTGTATGTATATATGTATGTAAAAATTAGAAGTCAATTGCCGATAAGAAAGAGTAGGAACTTTTAATTAGGTTATTTTCATTCTTCAAATGACTTTGAAGAAAGTATTTCTTCACATTGATTTTAAAGGCGAGAGCACATTGACCTTACTTAAATTTGACTTTTGGGGTAGAAAAGGCACAATCATTTTAAGAATTTGATAATATGCACTATTGCACTTATACAAGAGCAAAAATATAATCTCATTTTCACAGCGACTCGATGCCACGCATTAGGATAGCCGTGAAAATCACTCACACGAGACATATTATTATAAAGATCGATCATTGGTGCTTCGCAGGTGAAGATCTGGTTCCAGAATCGGCGTATGAAGTGGCGCAACAGCAAGGAACGCGAACTCCTGGCGACGGGTGGCTCCCGCGAGCAGACCCTACCCAACAAGAACAATCCGAATCCGGACCTCAGCGACGCGGACGGCGACAGGCAGCGGATGGACCTGAGCGACGCGAGTCCTCTCACCAGCCCCCAGAGGCCGGAGGATCACAGTGACAACGAGGACGATGAGGAGATCAACGTCACGTGATAAAATGTCGAGGGACGCGTCCTCCTCGACAGGCGAGCGGCCTAAATTTAATTAATCGGCGGTTGTAGAATCGATTGTGCCGCTGAGGTGGGACGGATTAGTTTTGGGGAGGAGGGCCAGGAGGTCGTTTACGCGTATACGACGTATACGACGTTGGAGAAGACGTATAATTCGTAGCTCGGGCCCGGCCGACCACCGACCGCCCGTACTCTCCTCCCATTATCATCGACAATCCCGAGCGTCGCATTGGTTAGCTCGGGCCAAGGGTGATCCTGAGAAGACTCTCACTGGAGTAGGCATGCATTTATCAGCGATAAATGTAGCGCAGTTAAACGTAAATGTGGCCATTTATCGGTGTATTTAAGTGGCTCGGGCGTTAAGCGGTTACGTAAATTTCATGAGACTTGGTCTGGATGTTATTGGTGAGTCCGGTGGGGTTGGGGGGGAGGGGAGGGGGGGAGAGGCAACGACTCGAGGCAGCTCGATTTTGTAAATATAGTGTCGCGTTCGGTCTTGGATGTAATTGGCGAAATTTGTTTATGGAATCGGTAGTGGCGAAGCTAACTGTGGTGAAATAATGAAGCCCATGAAGTATATTGTGAGCCCGTTATTTTTAATAATTATTTATTGCGAAGACAACTGCTTTTACAAAGTTGTACAAAGTAATCGAGGCGGACGAAAGTTCGGCGACAATTGTTTGCAAATTGAGAATTGAGGCGATCGATTCTCGATGTAGAATGAAATACTTTACTCGCTTGGGTGGAAATTATTTATACCATGCTAATTTAAATATCATAGAAGGCATTTTATTACTTATCGATTTTCGTGTTTTAATAATGGTACTTTCCAATTACGATGGCAGTCTTTGAAAATATATTCAAAATGTAGCTCGCGATGATATTGTCGAGAGTGACGATTTAATTTAACATTTATAGTTAGGCCGAACTTAAAACTGTGATTATTATCGAATTATAAGAGACGACGATACGTTTTCCTTCCATTGTATTGCTCGATTATCGCATTAAATGTTTATGAAACCAATGATAAATGATTCTTTCGCTACTCTATCTAAATCCAAAATGATGCATAATATAAAGTTTAAGTATTCCGTTGCTTCACGGACGCTATGTAGAATGATATTATAATAATAATAATAATAATAATAATAATAATAATAATAATAATAATAATAATAGTAACAACAACAACAACAACAACAACAACGTGCGTAGCGATATTAAACGAAACTTTTACTTCTTGAGCTTAAAGATCGATGACACGATACACTGTTCAATTGTTTGCTGTAATTCAATGAAATACATTGGTACTTGATTGCATCTTACAAAAATGACGTTACTTTTTCAATTTATACATTAAATTTCAATATTCTTTCTTTTAAAGATGGCGAATTATGAAGAATAATCAATGTTTTTTTTTTTTTTTTTTTTTTTTTTTTTTTATCAAGTAATATCGATAATTTGGCGTCTATACGAACAATCGGTATGGCAAGATAATTCCATAAATATCATTGAATATTGAAATTCAATTTACATTTATTCCTTATGATCTTGCAAATATTTCTCTAATCTTTATTATTATTAATTATTACCATTAATATGAATTACTATTATTTTTACAATTATCCTTATTATTATTAGGATTATGATTATTATTAATGTACATTCAAGTAACTGGAGTATTAAATAATCTTCGACATCATTCCGTTAACGTATTATAGTAGTAACTCGCTTTTAAAATCGCTCGTTTAAATTATTTTATATTGAATTATAATTCTCACTTTAATAAGGAAATATCAATTTTTATGCTATTTACTCGTAATTTCTTATATAATAATCGATCAAATTAAAATTATGATTACTTTGTTCAACAATGCTTTAAAGCTTTAAAATTACTAAATCAGTATGACGTGTTATTTAATAAAATAATATATTAATCATATATGCATTTGTTTTTTATTCTGAAATTCTTCATTTTATTAATTTGTATCGTGTTATCACATCATCTTTACATACTATTTAAGAAAATGGTGTAAACATAAATAGAAACGATATTCTTGGATAGTATACGAAGTATCTGTGATAATTAAATAATATATATTAAAGTAAAAGAGAGTTTAGCCTTTTTAATAATTTTATCCAATAATAATATTTGTGTACGAAACAATGTGTTGAAAAAATACTTTCACACAAGATGATAGTCATAAATTTTGAATAGCCACGAAATACTTATTGGATAATTCGATTTTTACAATGTTAAATTCTAGTTGAACGTTGAAAATCATAATTAACCTAAAAAACTTTCTTTAAAGCACTACGATAACAAAATATGGAACTATAGAAAATTAAGACATTAATTTCGCTACATTAATGGCCCGTTCGTGCAATCGATTCTATATTACTAAATCAATCGTAAATTGATATGAATTTTAAAATAGATAAATTGTTAAAATGGCATGAAACAAGAGAATTTGTATAATATAGTTATATCAGAGGGCTTGAATTGCATTGATTATTGTGATTTCAATTACATAAAAGGAAAATACTATTTATATCTTTCCAAACATTTCGACTTAAATGTTTCCAATGCAATTCGATGGAGACTATGTTTTCAAAAAAAAAACAAAAAAAAAAACAAAAAAAAAACAAAAAAAAACAAAAAAAAAAAAAACTAAAGTGACTTTGTTTTTTCTAAGCCAAAGTACGTTTATGAATGCAACTTAGCGATTGTAATATATTGTAATTAGTCATTTGATGTATCAGTGGAAAATTTCAGTTAAAAAGGAATTTTTCTGGTATCAATAATAATTATTGTTAAGTCATGAATCGTAAAGGATATACGTATAAGTATGACTGTATTACGAAAACGTGCGAAATTTAAAAATGTAATTGTAATTGTATATATATATATATATATATATATATATATATATATATATATAAATATAATTACAATAATATATAATAGTAAATTACATGTAATATAATATAATAAAATTATTCAAAATGCGAAATAATCAGAAGTTTTATTTGAAATTTAACAAATATTTCTTCTTATGTAAATAAGGGATATTTAATGAAGTAAAACTAAAATAACAGATTATTATTTATTATTCGAGAAAATTATTAGTTACTTTTATTAATTTATCGCTTGCTATCTGCTTGAAAAACAAAAACTCTTTCTTATTTCTAATCGGTCTTATTAAACTATGTGTAAAATGTTCTATTTACAGCTTTATTGTATTTTTTTTTTTTTGTTTTTTTGTTTTTTTTTTTTTTTGCTTTTAATAATTGACTTTTCAGACAGTCACATAACGATAATTTTATTTTATATTTTAATAGAGCCTAGTCAATAATGATTTGCATCCCGATAAAAACAATGAGCTATATTAAATAGTCAATGGAATTTGATTAAAAATTTCTTCGATATAGTGATAAATTCAATTCGAATATTGATTGACATGGAAATTGATCTTTCTAAAAATTGCAATTAATGATGTTTTCAATAATCATATATTACACGTAACAAGACATCCTGAGTCCTCCTATGTAATCCATCATTACAGCGGCCACTGACAAATAAGGTATCTGTACTACAGTACTTGAGTGACAGTTGGTATTTTTAGTTTATTAGAATGGGAAAAAAAAGACGTAATTTGAGAGTACTCTTTCGTATTATCATTAATCATATTAAAATGTAAAAAAAAAAAAAAAAAAAAAATTGATGTTTTCATTTGCAATTCCAACGTAATATGTTATATTGCAAAATACATGACAAGTTGAGTATATTTTAAAACATATAAATTTTCCAAAAACATATTATATATTCAACGCGTTACAAAAGCATGAAAAGTGACATTAATAATATTGTATGGCTTAAATTTTGCAAATTTTGCAGAAACATTAATTTTTGGACAAAATTAAGCACAAGATTATAATCATTTACAATTAATTTCATTAATTTAATAAAAGTTTGAAGTTTTGCAATAACTAAAACCTTACATTTCCACGTTTTCATTACTCTTACTCAATTTGTAAGAATTTTCAGTTAATATAAATGTGTACGCGCGCGCGCGTGTGTGTACGTAATTAATTTTTTTCTTTAAATGACACAATATCGAATTGATGATCTATGATCATCGATGTTAAACGAGAATCGCGTAATCAATATTAGAGTTAAAATTGTATTGCAATGAAATTCTTCAGTGAAATCTTAGTTAATGTTTTAATAAATGCTCATCTATAAAGTTATAAATAAGAATCTAATGTACAATGAAATAATCGTGCAATGATTGTCGAAATAAGCATCGTACATTATCATCATTACATTTGTCTTATAATCGACATTTATACGCGATTCATAATACTCCATATGTAAATGTAACATCATTCTTCAATACGATGTCCTCGTTTATTCCTCTATGATCAATTTTCTTTTTCTTTTTTTTTTTTTTTCTTCTTTTTTTATGGTTCTATTTCAAATTGGTCGTTTATGTCATCCGCAGACAAAACCTAGCCTTCTCCAATTGGCACGGGTTCGTTCTCAATTCCTCTCCTTGACTCCTACATCTGGCTTTTATTCGTTTTTACATTTTCATCAATAACGTCATTCTCGACAATAGCGAATCCTTGATTCTTATACAACTGTGAGGCGAATATAAAAATAAAAGGCATTAAAGGCAAAATTAATTATTATATGCTTAATTGATCAAATATCAATGAATATGCAACTTATTTTTTTACAACATTGTTCTCTATATAAACTTTTACAATAACTTCAGCAATTTGATTTGTATTGCCAGCCTTAAGTAAAGTTGAATAAATTGCAGGATCGAAAATTTGACAATAATTTTCAATTTCAGTTTAGTTTCTTTATTAGTACAATATATTAATAAAATAATTTTCATCTAAATAACGAGGGAAAATTATTCGCGATAATGTTATTGAGAAGATATCACTATCTTATAGCGATATGAAAATGTA